GGGCTCAGGCGATCCTTCCGCCTCAGCCTTCCAAGTAGCCGGAACTACAGGCACGCACTACCATGCCTAGCTCATTTTTTGATTTATTGTAGAGACAAGGTCTCACCATGTTGCCCAAGCTGGTCTCGAAACCGCTGGCTCAGGCAATCCGTGCCTCGGCCTTCCAAAGTACTGGGATTATAAGCTTGAGCCACTGCACCTGGCCTAAATTATTTTCTTTATAGAGACAGGATCTCACCATGTTGCCCAGGCATGTTTTAAACTCCGGGCCTCAAGTCATCCTTCTACCTCGGCCTCCCAGGTACTGGGATTACACATGAGCCACTGTGCCTGGCCCTAGGGTTGTTTCTTTTGGTGTCACTGTGTGCATGCATACTATGCGGTTCTCCTGAAGCTTTAGGTGTTTTCTGGACTTCCTCTTTGCAAAGGTAGTAAGTGTACTCTCTGCATTCTTGCATTTCCTGGTTGTGCACCTGGTTATGCTTTCCCTGCATGTCTCTTTTCTGACTTGATTTGTGAATAGCTGTGTGTGTACACAGCTATGTGCCGCCATCTGCTTGAATCCAGTTGCGTGTGTGACTGCAATTTCTGTTTGTACAATCATGTCTGCCCATGAGTGTCTCTCTCTCTGTGACCAGAGTTGTATGTGGTCCCAAGTGCACACCTGAGTTCACATGCACAAAGGTATCATTTTAGAGCTTGAATCCGGAAGTTTGCTTCTAGGGCTATCTGAACCTGGAATCGTGTGTGTGTGTATATGTTGGCTGTGTGTGGGAGTCTGTTCACTGTGCACTGAGAGTCTGTGTGATTTGCCTGTTGGTTGTCTGGTGTGGCTGTGGGTTCCTGGGTGATAATGTCTGGGAGTCTATACTGTCTATAAGTCTTTATAGGCCTTTCCCCCATGTCAGTGTGTGCGCTCTGTGTGTGACTCTGAGTTGTGGTGATGATACCTGTAAGACTATTTTCATGGTGTGTGGCTGTGTGACTGTCCCATGAGCCTGGCTCTCTGTGTGCAGTGGTGAGTGTGTGTGTGTTCATGTCTGTCAGCTTGTATTCTCTATCTGTGGCTGTGAGTCTGAATGCCCATTTGGCTGTACTTGTTTATACCTCTGTGGGTGATGGTGAGTCTCTGAGCCCTCGGATGGGGTGTGATTGGGGCTGTTGTGTAGTTCGATGCCTGAGTGTGCAGGAGTCTCTGTCCCACTGCGGGGAAGTAAACGCCTCATCCCTTGCCCTCCTCCAACTGTGGGCGGGGTGAGGGCATCTAGGCTAGCTTTGAAGCCCAGCCAGCTCCTGGCCTTTCCGGGAATTCTGTGCTCCCTGTGGGAGGTGGACAGGTGGGCGAGGGGCCCGGAGAGGGGCCTCTTGTCCACCTGGGCTTCAGGCAGCCCAGTTGAGTTGGGCCCAGACCCCAAGTCCACTCTGCCTGACTCCCTGAAGAGGACAACTACCTTGCCTGGGACAGACGTGCTTGTCACATGCCTGGATGGAAGTGAACAGACAGACTCCATTTAAGACAGACAGACAGACAAACAGTGGGATTCCTCAGTTAGGGTTAGGACAGGTCCCACCCCATGCCTGGGCTGAAGTCCAGAACTCTGGGGTACACCCAGTATGCAGACAGTGTGAGTCCATACTCCCCACCCAACCACAAAATGCTCTCCCTGCCTCCCTCTGGGGGCCCCCAAGGTCTAGGGTCCTTTCCTGATTAGGCTATCTGACTGTGGAACAGGCGCGGGCGGAGCAGATTGGCCATAGGGCGGGGGCGGGGTCAGGGGCAGGGGCAGGGCCTTGCCAGAGCGGGAGCTGAACTGGTGGTGAGGCTCCCTGAGCCCAAGTCTGAGTTGCTGCCGCTTCTAGAGCTGAGAGGAGGAGGGAGGTGAGGAGGGGGTGCGAGCGGTGGGGATGGTGTCCCCTGGGGCCCCGAGATATGAGTGGGGGTTCCGGGAGGGAGCTCAAGGGTTTCCTGGAGACACTTTTAGCACTAGTGGGGAATTGAACGGGGGGGATGTCCTTTGGTACCTTGATCCCAGGAAGTGGATTCAGGAGTGGGTGCAAGTCTCCAGAAGGTGCTCGGAGCTGGGGATGGGGCTTCTTGAAAATTCCCATTCCCAGGAAGGGGATTCAGGACTTGGGGAGGGGGTTTTCCGAAGCCAATTTTAGCTCTAGTGGGACCCTTGAATGGGGGTTTCTGAGATACCTCATTCCCAGGGAGTAAACTCAGGGCCAGGAGCCTCTTCAGAGACGCTCTATCCACAAGACAGAGCTCCAGGCTCAGTGGAGATTGCAGAGACACCCCCAATCTAGGAGACACAGTGGGCCCTGGGAGAGGGGCTTTGATGAAGGTCTCAGAAACAGTTCATCCTCGGGAGGGGAAATTAGGGCTCAGGCTAGGTTCCTGAGACACCCCAAGCTCAGGAAGTTTCTCAAGTCTGAAGCCTGAAAGTGTCTCCAGAGTTACTGTCAGAAGACGGGTATTTAAGACTTGAAAACACCTCAAAGCCCTAGGGGAAGGTTTAAATTGGGGTCCCTGGGTCAGTAATATTCCTAGAAAGGGACTTGGTTTGGGGAGTTGTCTTTGGCCTCTAATGAGGACATGCAGAGAGCAGTTTTCAGCATCTGAGGCTGGGGTCTCTAAGTTTATTCCCCATCCCCAGCCCATTCAACAGGTTGCATCAGCTCTGGGCTCATGCTTAGGGAGCCAGGAGGGGGGTGAGGGGCATTAGAGGGGAGGGGCAGCCGGGCGACACGTGTCCCTGTAAGGAGTGAGCCGCCACGCGGTGAGGGTGGAGAAAAGGAGGGGGCCGCGGGGGACCGGGCAATGAAAGAGACAGACGGCAAGAGAGACAGAGTAAGTTTGGGGTCTGGGAGGAGAGGCAATCCCAGCTCCAAGTGGCCATCTAGTCTGCAGTGGGGTCTTTCTGTGTAGCTTTCTGTCTGTCTCCTCCACTGTTTCTCGCTGTCTTCTTTTCTCTGTGTCTCTCCGAGTAACTGGCAGACTCTTTCTCCTCTGGTTCTCTCCTCTCTCTCCCATCTCTTTCTCTGTTGGCCTCTCCGTTTGTAGCCCTGTCTCTCTCATCCCTCTCTGTCCCTGTCCCTCGATACATTGCTTTCTCTGTCTTTACATCTGTCTGTCTCTATGTGATCCCCTCCTCTCTTTATCTAGCTCTCCTCACTTTGTAGCCCCCTACTCCATCTCTGACCTTCTGCCCACAGGATGGAACTGCAGGATCCAAGGATGAACGGAACCCTTCCTGCGGGTGCTGTGGGGTGAGTCAGGGGTCCAAGGAGGTGAGGTCAGGGTCAGGGTTACTGTCTTATCAGCGCCTATTTCCCTGCCCTATCCAGCTACAGGCAGGAGCATGAGGGCTTCCTGCCCAGCCATGGTACTGCTCCAGGGAGGAAGCCAGTCCAGTTCATGGATGTGAGTGACCCCACAGGATCTGTCCCCGTGGCACTTTCTCCAGCTAATCTCCCCTACTGCTCCTTCTCTGCAGTTGCTCCCCTGCCTAACTGTCTCCCCACTAGAGCTATTCACTCCTCAGTTGCTCCCCTCTCCAGATACTCCCCTTCCCCAGGTAAGCCCCTGAGCTCTCTCCCTTACCTAGCCTCTCCCTGTCCAGGGATTGTCCTCCCTAGCCGCTCCCCTCCCTACCTACTTTGCTTCCCAGCTGGTCTCCCTCTAGCACTCCCCATCCTAGCTGGCCCTCCTTCCCAGCTACTCTCCTCCCCAACTGTTTTGCCCTTGGCAGCTGGCCCACTCTCCCCTGTTTCACTCCACTTTCAGCTGCTCCCTCAAAGTTTCTCTTAGTTTTTTCCCTTTCCCAGTTTCTTCTTCTCTTCAGCTCTCTTTCTCTTCCAGCAGCCTCTTTCCTCCTCCTATGGTCCCTCCTGGGCTTCTCCCCATCCACTTGCTTCCTCCCCAGTCTTTCCCTGCCCCCCCACCCCCCGCATGTGTGCCTGGGCTTTGTCCTTTGACTGCAGTTTGAGGGAAAGACATCGTTTGGAATGTCAGTGTTCAACCTCAGCAACGCCATCATGGGCAGCGGCATCCTGGGACTGGCCTATGCCATGGCCCACACTGGGGTCCTCTTCTTCCTGTGAGTCCATAAGTGGCCTGGGGAGATAGGGGTGTCATGGGGCAGGTGGGAGGCCTCGGGCCAGGTCTGAGCTGTGCTGCCTGCACAGGGTCCTGCTGCTGTGCATTGCGCTTCTGTCTTCGTATTCCATCCACCTCCTGCTGACCTGTGCCGGTGTTGTAGGTGAGACCCAGAGCCTGACTGTGGACCCCAGACCCTGGACCCAACTCCCTGACCTCAGACCCCAGACTTCAGCCCAAATCCCGGACACTGGATGTGCCACCCTGACCCCAGATCCTGAACCCAGCACCCCAGACCCCTGCTCAATTCCAGAACCCTGGCCCTCAGACTTTACCTGGGCTTCCAGATCCCTATCTTCCAGTTGCCACCCCACCCCTCTGTCTGGCCATCAGACCCTCCCCACCCCCAGATCACTACACTCTACTTCTAACTCCCACTTCTCAATCCTCAGCCCTTGCTTAACCTGGAAGCCAACTTCACAACCCTGAGGCTCCCATTCCTTAGCCTTCTGTTGCCCCGTTCCCAGGCTGTGCTCCCACCATGATCTCAGGCCATATTCTGGCTCCAAAATCTCCCACTCCCTACCTCCAACCTCCAACCTTCTCCTTGGCCATCAGTCCCTGATCTTAGATCTCACCTCCCAGACTCTGTCCCCAAACTCAACCCTCACTGCTTAACCCTCACCTCCAGCCTCCAACAGTCAACCTAGGTCCCCCAAGTCCCACCCTCAGCTCCCAGGCCTGTGCCTTTCAGCCTGGCCTCCCAAACCTACAACCTGTTCCTGCCTCCCCCCACTCCCCACTAGGCATCCGAGCCTATGAACAGCTGGGACAGAGGGCATTCGGGCCAGCGGGGAAGGTAGTGGTGGCCGCGGTCATCTGTCTGCACAATGTTGGGGGTGAGGACTCTGGGAGGTGGGCATCAGCTTGGGGGAAGAGGGAAGGGTGAGGTGGGCTTCCTTAGAGTGGGCTGGGGAAGACGGGGTGGGGTATGAAGGGAATCCTGCTTACACCTATCCTACTCACACCAGCCATGTCCAGTTACCTGTTCATCATCAAATCTGAGCTCCCCCTGGTTATCGGCACCTTCCTGAGCATGGACCCGGAGGGGTGAGTGAGCAACACTCCTTGGCTAGCCTGAGGGCCCTAGATTCTGCCTATGAGGTCCAGCTGGTATCTTCAACCCTGTGTGTCCAGCTGACTCCTAGGTGTTCTATTGTGAGACTGTTGGCCAGGCTGTTTAGATCAGACCGAGATTGCTGTGCACTGTGATGCCAACAGTATGTGTGACTGTTGCTCTGACTATAGGAATAACCAGTAGACCACGTGCTGATTTTGTGACTGTTATTCTGGCTACTTCTGGCTCCTTCTGACTCTATGTCCAGTTTACTCTGATGCTGACTGTGTGTGTGTCTGTACGTATCCAATAGATTCAGTGACTGTTGTACTGGCTGATTCTCCTGACTACAGCTGTGTCCTGTATACTGTGATTCCAGCCATATGTGTCTGACACTTGGTTACTCTGACTTTTCCTGTTCAGCTGATTCTTTGAGCTTGATTCTGAGTTCATCTGGCTGAATCTGTCCAGCTATAAGCATTACTTCAACAGTGTGTGTGTGTGTGTGTGTGTGTGTGTGTGTGTGTGTGTGTGTGTGTGTGTGCGCGCGCGCACAGTACTCTGTAGTCCCAACTGATTGTGTGACTTGCTCTGACTGTATGTGTCCAGCCAACTCCATCTCTGTGTTTGATTTGATTACTGTTCTGGAAAATTCTCTCTATCTCTGGGTGTGTGTCATCTCTGACTATGACTGTCTATGTTCTCTGTATTATAGTTGCAACCATGTTATGTTTGACTGTTCTGACTGTGCATCCAGCTGACTGAGTCCAGATCCACTACGTTGACTCAGTCTTTCTGGTTGTATGTGCACCACAGGACTCCAGTAGAGTTAGTGTGTATGTGTAGTGTGCTGTGGTACTTTTGCTCCAGCTTCGTGTACGTAGCTGCCTCTGTATGTTTAATGCACAGCACTGTGTGTCTAGTGGCTAACTCTGCCTCTGGTCCCACAGACTCTATATAGTGTGTGGGTGTGTGTCTGGTTTGGTCAGTCTGACTCTGGGTTAGTTGGTCTGTGTGTCTGTCTGACAGTTTAAACTGAGTGCTTGCTTTTTATGTTGGTTTGTATTATGTTAGATCTTCGATTTGATTCTGAGAACATTTAGATAACTAAGTGTGATTAGGTATGTCTAGTTTTCTATCTGACCAATGGCACTTTGTTGGTTTCTTCTGGGTAACTGTATATGAGACAGAAAGAGAACTGCAGATGCTTGGAACGTAGTAGGCACTCAGTCAAGTTCTTTTGAACAAATGAGCAGGTGTTCAGCCGATTTTATATTAACTGACTGTCTGGCCTGGCCACCTTCCTCCGCAGTCTATACACAACCCACTCTTTCTCAGAGCTTGATTACAACAGTGTGGCCAGCTGGGTGATTCTGTTTCTATTTTCGTCTTTCTCTGGCTGTGTGACCAAATCGGCCCACAGGTGTACTTTTGGGCATCCAACAAACCTTGAGCTGTTCAAACAAGCATGCATGTGTGTTTCTGACTTTTTGACTAATTCTGCATTGAGGCTTGTCCACCAGATCATCAGACGTTGTTCTACCTGTCAGACACACCAGGATCGTGATTCACTCTGTCTTGTGTTGATCACCTTGTGTTGGACTGATCTTCACATTGTATCTGACTGATTTGGAGTGTTTGACCATCTGATTGTTGTCTACTTGTGAATCTGATGGCGAGTTTTTTTTCAGCTGTGTCCCACTGATGGTATCTGATCGACAGTCTCATAATCAGGCTGAATGCTTTTGTTGATTCTATTGTGCCATTTGTCATTGTAACCACCTGAATTATTTCTCACAGCTGAGGTGTCACCTTATCTCTCCGGACTTTGGGCAGAAGTGTGTCTGTTCAGCTGTCTTTGAGTGTCTATGTGGCAGCGTTTCTTGGCTGGCAGCTAGTCATGGTGTCTTCCTGTCTCTGTAGGGACTGGTTCTTGAAGGGAAACCTCCTCATCATCATTGTCAGTGTGTTGATCATCCTGCCCCTGGCCCTCATGAAACACTTGGGTAAGAAGCTTCCTGGTTGGTCATTGGATAGCGAGGTCAGAGGGGAGAGCCAGACTGAGAAAATCTCCATTTTCAAGGGCTTCAGAACACCAGGAGAGAGCTTGTTTGATGTGGGTTTTAATAGATTAGTAGGAGTTTGCTGTGGAGGGGAAGCTGGTCTGGGTGGGTGAAGAGGCCTTGAAGTCTAGACTAGGGGTTTGGAGTTTTCCATAGGGGGATCCCTTGATTTCTGAGGCTCTGTGTGTTGCCCCTTGTAGGCTACCTGGGATATACCAGTGGTCTCTCTCTGACCTGCATGCTGTTTTTCCTTGTTTCGGTGAGTCAGAGAGAAGGACATGAAAAAGTGGGAGAGAGTTTGGGACACTGGGACATAGCCTTTCTCAAGACCTCGCTTCCCTGCTCCCCTCACCCCCAGGTCATCTATAAGAAATTTCAGCTTGGCTGTGCTGTAGGTCGCAATGAGACAGAAGTGGAGGGCCTCCCTACCCAGGGGCTTAACAGCACCTGTGAGGCCCAGATGTTCACAGTTGACTCCCAGGTGGGTATGCAGGCATGTAAGAGTGTGTAACACCCTTAGATCCTCTAGTCTTGCCACATGGTGCATTCTGCTCAGAGTGGAGCCAGGTATCGGACACTGGGCCTGCTTCTGTATGTCTGATATGCAGGGCTGGGGGGATGGGGAAGAGGGGTTGGACCCCTGTGAACTCTAATCCCATGACCTTGGACCATTCCCCCAGATGTCCTATACAGTGCCCATAATGGCTTTCGCCTTTGTCTGCCACCCTGAGGTGTTGCCTATCTACACGGAGCTCTGCCGGTGAGTGGGCAGGCAAGTGGGCATGTGTGAGGGGCTAGCGGGTGGGGTGGTAGTCATAATGCCCGACAATCCCCACAGCAGCCCTGAGACTATAGCTTGATGGTGGCTATTTTGTGCCAAAGGAGGGGTTTGGGGTGGCCAGGAGGCCTCGGGAGACTCAGGTCAGTGACTGTTTACTGTTGGGGCTTAAGTATTCTATTTGAACATCCAGCACAAGTGTGAATGGGCAGAGCTGGGAGTCAGCACTCGGATGATCAGATGGAGGGGGTGGTATGCATGGATGGGCATGGGGAGCGGGGGCGGTCAGGTGGATGGTGAGATATGGATAGAAAGTGGAGGAGGCAGGAATGATATGATGGAGGGATGTATGGATGATCAGGCAGGGACAACATGGATGGTCAGGTGAAGGGAGAGGCAGAGATTGCTCATATGGGGTGAGATATGGGTGGACAGAGGGGAGGCTTGACTAGTCACACAGTAGAAGCGGAGGCAGGCATCCCAGCATGTACTGGCTGAATGTCAGTCTGGGAGCAGGGGACTATGGAAAATAGGGGCTGGCTTTGAGGGGCCTGGGCCAAGTCCAGGGATCTGGGTGTGATAGCTCTGTGACCTCTACACTTCAGGCCCTCCCAGCGCAGGATGCAAGCTGTGGCCAACATATCCATTGGGGCCATGTTCTGCATGTATGGGCTCACAGCGACCTTTGGATACCTCACCTTCTACAGTGAGTGGCGCTGGGACTGGGGCTGGGGGGATGGGGAGGACTGGTGCTGGAGCCTCTGAGCTCTTTTCCCCCATGATCTTAGACCTATCAGTTTCCAAAGGGAAGGTGTGCATTGTGCATACCATGTTTATATATATGGGTTTCTGGGGAATGAGTCCTGGTGCTCCTGCCACATCCTGCATCCCGTGTCCCCTGTCCCATGGCCCAGGCAGCGTGGAGGCAGAGATGCTGCACATGTACAGCCAGAAGGACCTGCTCATCCTCTGTGTGCGCCTGGCCGTGCTGCTTGCGGTGACCCTTACAGTGCCAGTTGTGCTGTTCCCTGTGCGTGGGGACAAGGGTGGGCCCACAGAATGGAGGGACACGGATGAATGGGTGGAGAGCATAGGCATGGTATTCAGATGAAGTGTGGGGATGGAGTGGATGGATGGATGGAGGAGGCAAGGATGGACAGACAGGGAAGTAAAAGTTGTCAGATGGACAGAGAAGGCAAATGTAGATGGTCACACAGAAGGGGAGATGTAGATGGCAGGACAGAGGGTCAGGGGATGGGGTAGTGAGTTGTAGAGAGGAGGCACAGATGGATGGCTAGACCGAAGAGACAAGTAGGACTGATCAGTCAGAAGGTAGAAGCATAGACAGATGGCCAGGCAGAATGAAGAAATGGGAATGGACAGGAAAAGAGTGGGGGCTGGAATGGTAAGCTAAAGGAAGGACAGAGCTCTCAGATGCTTAGACAGAGGAGGGAGGTAGAGGTAGTCAGATGGAGAGAGGCAGGGTCTCAGACATGGTGGAAGGATAGGTGGCTGGTCAGGGAGAGGGAGAGATGGTCAGATAGAGGAGGAGGCAAGAATTCAGACAGTGGGTGGAGGCACAGATGGATGTTCGGACAGAAGGAAGAGACATGGATTGTCAGAGGACAGAGGCAGGAAGCTCATTCAGGAGGTGGAAGTATAGATGGATGGTCAGGCAGTGTGGAGCCATAGATGGTCAGAGGAAGGAGAAATCAGGGATCTCAGAGGATAGAGGTAAAGACAGATGATCACATGAAAGTGGGGGCAGCACTTCCTGACTTCTGTCCCACCCTCCTCTGGCCACAGATCCGCCGGGCTCTGCAGCAGCTGCTTTTCCCAAGCAAGGCCTTCAGCTGGCCACGGCATGTGGCCATAGCCCTGATCCTGCTTATCTTGGTCAACGTCCTGGTCATCTGTGTGCCAACCATCCGGGATATCTTTGGGATTATCGGTCAGTATCCCTAACTTGAGTCCCATACCTCACCTAATATGGGCCTTGTACCCAACCTTAGGTTGACTCCTGTCCCTCCTTCTTGTCCTCCAGGGTCCACCTCAGCCCCCAGCCTCATCTTCATCCTTCCCAGCATCTTCTACCTCTGCATTGTACCCTCTGAGGTGGAACCTCTCTTCTCCTGGCCCAAGATCCAGGTGAGCATTCTAGGGGAGAGCTGGGCAAAGAGGGAACACTCCAAGGAGGGAGCGTTTGCTCCAGGATGACTGCAGATGAAGGAACATTCTCAGGAGTGGGCTGGGGGAAGAGGGAGCATCTGGAAGAATGCTCTGGAAGAAGGAAGGGGCAGAGCAGAAAGCACCAGCAGGGCCTGGGAAGACAGAAGGGGCACTCAAGAAGGCTCTGGCATAGAGGGAGCATTCTCCAGACAGATGGAAGGAGCCCTATTGGAAGGAGATCTGGGAGCACGTTCAAGGAAGATGGAGGAGAGCACTTCCTGATGGGTCTGGGAAGATGGAAGGAGGATTTACAGGAAGGGGCTGGCTGTAAGGAAGAAGAGGGCAGGCAAAGGAAGGTCAGGAATGGATGGGGCACTCTCTGGAGGAGGTAGAGGATTTGAGGGACATTCTCAGGAGGTACTTGGGTGGGGGTTCCCAACCAGTCCCATTTTCTCTCCCTCTTGTCCACAGGCCCTGTGTTTTGGAGTACTGGGGGTCCTCTTCATGGCAGTCAGTCTAGGCTTTATGTTTGTCAACTGGGCCACAGGCCAGAGTCGCGTGTCTGGGCACTGACCATACCCTACCTGACCCGGGTCTCTGTGCCATGCACATGTGTGCATGGAGGGGGTCGGAGCTGCTCTCTAGGGTCCCTCCTGCCTGGTGTGTGGAGGTGGCTGGTTCCCATTAACATGGCTGTCAGAGGTGGAGGACAACAGAGGCTGCAGAGTGGTCTCCTTCCCTCCTCCCTAGGGTTGCTGAGCTTGGATTACAGCCCTAATCCCAACCCCAACCCCACAGGAGGAGGAGGAGGAGGAGGAAGAGGCCAGGTCCTAGGAGAGCCCTTGCCCAGCCCAGTTCTCTCTGCCTCCTCCTGGCTAAAGCTGTTGTCAGGATTACCCTTGAGCTAAAGGGGAAGAATAAAGATGTTGAATTACTACTCCAGTCTCAGCCTTCTGATCTTTTTCTAAGACTTAGGGGAGCCTGTTGAAATCCAGGCTAGGGTAAAGTGAGGCCCTGAGGGTGGGACTGTGCCTGCTGTCATGTGTTTCCCTAATTCACTCCCTCAGTAACTTGCTATTCAGTTTGTCATTTCACTCACTCACTCACTCACTCACTCACTTGGTGAACATCTATCGAGAGCCTTTTGGGTGCCAGGCACTGCTCTGGATGCTGGGATATGGCAGTGAATCAATCAAGCAGACAATCATGCCCTGGAGTTGATGTTCTAGCACAAGAGTGGGCAAACTCTGCCCTGCAGGCTAAATTTGACCTGCCGCCTATTTTGGTATGAGCTTTGAACTGAGACTAGCCTTTACATTTCTAAATGATTGAAGGAAACAAAAGAATAATATTTTGTGATGTGAAATTCAAATTTATGTGTGTATAAATCAAGTTTTGTTGGGATGCAGTCATGCTTGTTCGTTTATTGTTTATGCCTTTCTCGTGCAGAGCTGAGAATTTGCAACAGACCATAAGGCCTGCAAAGCCTAAGCTGTCTACCCTCTGGCTCTTTTCAGAAAAAGTTAGCTGACCCCTGGCCTAGAAGAAGAGAGGAAAAGAGAGAAATCATTTCTGATAAAGATGGGTGCTGTGAAGAAAATGAGTGATGTCAGAGTGGTGTGGTGAGGTGGTGGGTGAGGAGGCAGGTAGGGAGACCTCATTGAGGAGGGGATGATGAGCTGGATCTTAGGTTGACTGGAAGGAGCAAGCCCCATGGTAATCTTGGCAAAGAGTGTTCAGGCAGAGGGAGCAGCAAGTGCAAAGGTCCTGAAGTAGGAATGAGCATGGCTGGTCCAAGCAAGGGTAAGGAGCAGTAAAATATGTGAATGCTTATTTCACCACAGTCTTGCCAATGGCCTGAGTATTGAAATGTGAATTTTTGCCAAGCTAATTGGTGAAAATGGTATAGCTGTGTGCTTATTTATGAAAGAAATTTTCAGGCTGGGTGTGGTGGCCACACCTGTAATCCCAGCATTTTGGGAGGCCAAGGCCAGAGGACTGCTTGAGCCCAAGAGTTTGAGATCTGGGAAACATAGTGAGACCTCGTCTCTAAAAAAAATTGAAAAATTAGGTAGGCATGGTGGCACATGCCTGTAGTCCCAGCTATTTGGGAAGCTGAGGTGGAAGGATCACCTGAACCCAGGAGTTCAAGGTTGCAGTGAGCTGTGATTGTGGCACTGCACTCCATCCTGGGTGACAGAGTGAGACCCTGATTCAAAAAAATAAGTTTTCAAATGCTTAAGAGACAATTATTTTTCCAGATCATTTTTATGCATACACAAGTCACTATAGGTATATAATCTTTTTCTCCCCTCTCCCTATTTACAAATAGGGCAGTTGACTCCTCTCACTGTTCTTTTTCCCTTATTGCCACTAAAACTCAACAAGTTTGCCTGTTAATAGTAATGGTAGCCTGACATTCCAGCGCCTGACCTTAAAAATATAAATCTTTATATTTAACAAAAAGCACCACAAAAAGAGATGAAGGTGATGCTCCTGCTCCTGGTATCAACAGAGGATGAGATCATTGTTTCATAAAGCTTGATCAAAGAGCCTGTTTTGATGTGATACTGAAGTGCGCACTTTGACAAGAATGTCAGTACTACTTTCCAGGGGAGCATGGAGAGCTGTATGAATTGTCATAACTTGTTCTATTCTCTGTTAAAGCAAATCTGTCTTGGGGACCTCTGAACGTTTTAGGAACTGAAGCCATGTGAAAAAGAAAAAAAAAATTGAACTCCACTTAGAATGTTATCCTAGGGCCTTACTGGTACTTTGAGTGTATATTTGAGGATAGATGGTATATTTTGCATAAAAAACTACCTCTTTTTAAAAAAGTTGTTTTTGGAGATATAATTCACATACCATAAAATCTACCACTTAAAAGTGGTGGGAAACTGCCAGAGGAGGGGGGATGAAATCGGCAGTTGAGGGAAACTGCTGGGGGAGGGAGGGGCACACCTCATCAACAAGGGTGCCTGCATAATGAACATTTGTATACCTAACCCTGAATTGTACCCCACATCTTTAAAATAAAAAATTTAAAAAGCGTACAATTCAATGTTTTCTGTATATAATGTTGTGCAGCCCTCACCCCTATCTAATTCCAGAACATTTTCGTCTCCCCATAAAGAAACCTCATACCCATTAGCAGTAACTCCCCCTCCTCCCAGCCTCTGGCAACCACTAATCTACTTTCTGTGCCTATGGATTTGCCCCTTTTGGACATTCATGTAAGTGGAATCACACACTGTGGCCTTTTGTGTCTGGCTTCTTTCATTTAGCATAATGTTTTCAAGGTTTATCCATATCATAGCATGTATCAGTACTTTTTTGTCTTCCAATCCATGAAAATAAATGGACCTTTTCATTTATTTAGGTCTTTAATTTTCTTTAGCAATGTTTTGTAGTTTTCAGTGCACAAGTCTTGCATTTTGTTGGAATGCAAGTCCCATTTAGGGGATTGTTTTAGTCCTTTCTGTGCTGATATAACAGAATACTTCAGACTGGATAACCTATAAAGACCATAAATTTGTTTTCTCACAGTTCTTGAGGCTGGAAAGTCCAAGCCCAAGGCACCAGCATCTGGCAAAGCCTTCTTGCTGTGTCCTTATATGGCAGACGGCAGACGTGCATGAGATAACCAACTCCCTCCATCAAGCTCCTTTATCTTATATGAGGGAGGAGCCCTCATGACCTAGTTACCTCTTGAAGACCCTACCTCTTAATACTTTCACATTGAGAGCACCTGTATTTTGGAGGCGCTACATTCAAACCATAACAAGGGTTAAAAATGACATCTTAATTTCTAGCAATCTAATTCACATTAGTATATCAACTTAATTTCAATACTATACAAAAACTTGGCTCCTATATAGCTTTGAGCACCCCTTTATGTTGTTATTGTCATAAATTACATCTTTATATATTGTGTGCCCATGAATCTATCAATGTAGATTATAGATTTATGTTTTTTTCAAGAGATGGAGTCTTGCTCTACTGTCCAGGCTGGAGTGCAGTGGTGTGATCATAGCTCACAGCAGCCTTGAACTCCTGGGCTCAAGCGACCCTCCCAACTTAGATATATTTATTTATTTGTTTGTTTATTTTCCAACTTTGATTTATAATGATTGTTTTATGTTGTTGTGTTTTTAGATCAGATAGCAAAAAAGGTAAGTTACAAAGCAGAAAATACATTAATACTGACTTTTATATTTATCTATGTAGTTAACTTTAACAGTGTTTTTTATTTCTTTATGTGGATTTGAATTGCTCTTTGATGCCTTTTCACTTCATCCTGAAATACTGCCTTTAGCCTTTCTTGTAGGGCAGATCTGCTAGCGATGAACCCTCTCAGTTTTTGCGTATCTGGGAATGTCTTAATTTCCCCTTCATTTTTGAAGACTAATTTTGCCAGATAGACAAAGAATGTCAAAAGAAGTACACATATTTTTTCTTTTTTTTGGCATCCGAACAGGGACAAAAGTATACACATTTTAAGAAAGGAATAAACTAGCCAGGCTCGGTGGCTCAGCCTGTAATCCCGCGCCTTTGGGAGGCTGAGGTGAGTGAATTGCCTGAGCCCGCGGGTTCGAGACTCGTCTGGGCAGCGAGACCTCATCTCTACAATAAATAAAAAA